CAGTCCTATTTGTACCCAAAAAGAAGGAAGGAACACTTAGGATGTGCATTGACTATAGGGGCCTCAATGCCATCACTGTCAAGAACAGAGAGCCCCTACCGCGCATCGATGACTTGCTAGATATAGTGCAAGGGTGTCGGTACTTCAGTAAGATAGATCTGAAGTCCGAGTACCATCAAATTGCAATCCGGCCCGAGGACCAACACAAAACCGCTTTTCAAACCAGGTACGGTCTGTACAAGTTTGTGGTGATGCCTTTCGCCCTTTGCAATGCTCCTGGCACCTTTCAACACGCTATGAATCGGATATTTCATGACTACTTGGATAAGTTTGTCATCGTGCACCTCGATGACATACTTATTTTTTAGTAAGACTGTCGAGGAGCACGTTGCGCACTTGGACAAAGTCCTTAGTCTTCTGCGACAACACAAGTTCAAGATCAACGGTGAGAAGTGCGAGTTTGGTTGCACCCGTGTCTTGTACTTGGGTCATGAGATTTCCGCGGAGGGATTAAAGCCCGATGACGCGAAGGTGGCCAGCATTCGTGACTGGCCGCGTCCTCAGTCTGTGACTGAGATGAGGTCTTTCTTAGGGATGACCGGCTACTATCGCAATTTCATGAATAACTATAGCATAGTTGCCGCCCCTTTGACTGACCTAACTCGCCTTGACACCCCATGGGAGTGGACAGACAGATGCGAGGCTGCTTTCAGACATCTGAAGCATGCGTTGACGCATCATGAGGTCTTGAAACTTCCCGATCCTGACAAGCCATTTATAGTAACTACGGATGCTAGCCAATATGGCATAGGTGTCGTACTTGCACAGCAGGAGGGGAAAAAGTTGAGGCCGGTAGAGTACATGTCCAAAAAAATGCCCTCTCAGAAGTTGGCTAAGTCCACCTATGAGAATGAGCTCTATGTGATCTATAAGGCGCTCATCCATTGGAGGCACTATCTCCTTGGGAGGTTCTTCTACGTCAGGACTGATCACCCGACCCTGAAGTGGATGAGAACCCAACCTGTGCTCTCCGACGCTCTGAAGCATTGGATTGAAGTCATAGAGCAGTATGACTTCGAGCCCCAGTACATCAAGGGCGAGTACAACAAGGTTGCTGATGCGCTGTCAGCCTGTCGCGTAGACCTGATTTCTCAGGTGCACTGATTACTGAGTTCGATCTTCCGAACGATGTTACTCGCTCTTTGGTGGAAGCCTATCGCGAGGACCAGTTCATGTCTGAGATCATACGCAAACTTGAGGCGAAGGATGAAAAAACTTCTGCCGAGTTTGAGTTCGTCAACGGCTTCCTGTTCCTTGAGAAGGCAGGGAACAAACAATTGTGTGTCCCAAATAAAGAGTCTTTGCGTAGTTTATTTTTAGGCGAGTGTCATGATGCCACCGGCCATTTTGGCTATAAAAAGACAGCAGCCAATCTGCTGCAGCGGTTCTGGTGGCCCACGATGATGCGAGATGCCCAGCTGTACGTGGAGACTTGTCAGGTCTGTAAGAGGGACAAGCCACGTACTCAGGCTCCTCTTGGGCTCCTGAAGCCCCTTCCGATTCCGGAAAGGCCTGGTGAGCGTTTGTCCATGGACTTCATAGATACACTCGTCACCAGCAAGAGCGGGATGAGACATATCTTTGTCATCGTGGACAAATTTAGTAAGTATGCTAGGTTGATAGCCATGCCGGAGACAGCGAAAACTGAGTACGTTATCAGACTGTTCAAAGAGAACTGGGTAAGAGATTTTGGTCTACCCAAGTCAATCGTGAGTGACAGGGATGTCAGATTTACAAGTGAGTTGTGGAAGGCTGCTGCTGCCGAACAGGGAACGCGGCTGATGACTTCGGGTAACCACCCCGAGGAAAAATGGCCAGGCCGAACAATTGAATCGCGCTGTCCAACACCTGTTGCGGCATTACATCAAGCCCAATCAGGTCGATTGGGACGAGAAGCTTGCTCTCATCACTAGTCTGTATAACAATGTTGTGCACAGCGCCACCGGGGTGAGCCCAAACAGCTTACTACTGACCTTCAAGCCAGTTTGCTTATCGTTACAAACAGAAGATGCAGCAGGCAGTAGAACAGATGCAAAGGGCACAAGCGACAATAATAGAATCTGAAAACAGACACTGCCGCCCATCTACATTCCAGGTTGGGGATAGAGTCTGGGTTAAGTCCTCAGAATTGGGACAGGAGCACGGGATCTCCCGCAAGCTCATGCCTCAATACTTTGGACCATGGGAGGTCTTAGATATAGTCGGGATGGATCCGGATGGGCCTTCTTACGTAATCCGGATCCCTGGTCATCTCCGCACATATCCTGTCTTTCACGCCTCTAAGCTTGCACCCTTCAAGGAAACAGACCAGTTTCCCTCTCGTCGCTCGATGCTGCCCCCAACCATGGAAGGAGAGGTGGATATCGATGACATCGTGGATCACAGGGAGCTGCCAGTGCCAAGACCGACCGGCAGGGGACGTCGTCCGAAACCGAAGCTGCAGTACCGCATTCGGTTCCGGCATCATATTGATCCAAAGGAAGATCGATGGTTCACCAGGGAGGAACTCATGCAGACCGCTCCTCAGGTTGTAGCCCAATACGAGAAATCTCTGCAGAAGGGAAAGCGCCCAATGATTGAAGACTGAGCTTCTCAGAGGACTGWTGAAGMTATGGAGGAGGGAATGCGAGGCCACAGCCTCGATGAGCCCCTTTCAGGCCCTGTCAAGCAGCACGTCGGCCGCCCTAAGTGAAGGCAGGCTCGACGAGGACCTGAGGGGCCCTATTTCGGCCACCACGCAACTAAGGAAATTCAGGCAGTTGCGCAGCGCCAGTTGGTTGAAAGAACCCAGGCCCTGGGCCGCCTGTTTGCATGTATCGAAGGCAGGCCCTGGGCTGGATATGGGATGTGGGCCAAACACAGGCCGAAGGCAGTTGGGCGCAAGCAACCACCTCAGGCCCYGGGCCTGATTTGTTTCGGACTGGGCCTCAGCCTGACGGGGCCTACCGAAAGCTTCTTGGGAAAGGCCCAGYGCAGCCTGGGACAGAACGCAGGCAGGCCACTTCCATATAGTAAAGGGCCTGCCTCYGMATGGGGCATTCGGGTGCTGGCTGCATGCTGCGCAAGYGCTGCTGCGCTGAAGCTGGCCAGCGCTCACGCGCTCACGGGCGAGCTGGAAGGAGCAGGCAGCCATAGCCRAGCTGCGCTGCTGTRRGCTRSGTGTGGCGCAGGGTGGTCCTTGGGTGCATGTGGCATCTGTGTGTTGGGGAACGAGGTTGTGAGTGATGCGAGAGACATACCTGGTGCTGGAAGCGTGCGGCATTGGCCGCTATCTGCTCGTACTTAGGGAGAGCTGTTATCGTCATCTTCGGCATTGTAGTCTAGGCTAGATAGGATCTGCCATCTGTAGTCTGGGCGCCGAGCGCCAGATAGGATATCAACATTGGTTCTTCGTTGATGATGATGATGAGACTATTCCAGCATTGTCAATTATGAGCTTTTGGTGTGCTCTTATTTGGTGAAACTCGTGATCCAATTCTGCTATTGGTTCGAGGTCACGACTATCTGGTCTTATGTGTATGATGCTGCTTAATTGTTGAAGTTCGCTATTGCTCATCTTCCTTGCATAAATAAATAAATCACACAAATTGGTACCAGGCTACTACCAGCTTTACGGAGATCAAACGTGAGTCCATGTGAATCGTACGGAGATTGAACATCACTGCATGTGATTCGTAAGGCAATCGAACATCAGCATGCGAACACTGTCACTGCACGACTCGAGGTAATCGCAGTGCCAAGTAACCCATCTGCTCTGCGACACTCGTGCTGAACGGTAGGTAGGTATTAAGGAGAGTGGAGGTCAATAAGATGGAAGAAAATGCAAATCACAAATACACTGGACTACTTCTCCAAAGAATACACTAGAGGCATGCCCATAAGGTCATCATTTAAGAGGGGCGGTCTTTGCTTTCTACAAAGCAGGGCATGCCCATAAGGTCATCATTTAAGAGGGGCGGTCTTTCCTTTCTACGAAGCAGGGTATACAGTAAAAAAGCTGGGGACAAACCAGAGTTCAAGCAGCCACTTAAACCCTGGTAGAAACCAGGTAGAAAGAAAGTTCTATAAATAGTAGTAGTATAATATAATAAGAAAATCATAAAGTCAGCTATAAACCATGGTGAAAGAAACACAGACACTCCCGTACAAATCAGAAATCAGTTCAGTTCAAAACATCACCGATAAACTCGCCGGCTTCTCCAAAGAATACTCTGCATCCACGCCCGTATGGGCTTTCTTTAAGAAGAACCGGCTTTCTTTTTTACACAGCAGTGTATCAACCAGGGTTTGTACCAAGAGTGGTTTTGTACCTTGGTTTGTACCCTGGTTTATAAGAGGGCTTTAAGTGGGTGGCGTGTTCCCTGGCTTGTCCACAGCTTGTACCAACCCTGGTTTATGCCCAGCTTTATGGCTTCTCCAAACAATACTCTGCATCCATGCAAATATGGGCTTTCTTTAAACCACCGGTACTTCCTAAAGCTGTGCCCGTTAACACGCCACAATTTTAGGAAACGTACGGGACACTATAGGAGCGCCCAAATTCATCCAACTAGAAATGTTTCTACTCTATTTTTTTCCGCGGTTGATTACTGGGCCAAGTACTGGTGGTTTAAGAAGAACCGGCATAAAGCTGGGCACAAACCAGGGTTGGTACAAGCTGGGGACAAACCAGGGAACACGCTGCCGACTTAAGGCCCTCTTATAAACCAGGGTACAAACCAAGGTACAAAAACACTCTTGACGCTTGATTCAGCTGGCAGATGTCCCGAACAACCAGCAACGGTGTGAGCAAGAATGACAAGAAATGTCCCAAATTATTAAGAAAAAACAAGAACAAAAACAAGAACAAAAACAAAAACAAAAACAGAAAAGAAAAGAAAAGAAAAGAAAAGAAAATCCATCTGTTGAAGAAGAGCACCTTCTTAGAAAAATCACCTTACCATGGAGGTGTTCCTTCAAGCTTCCATTTGCCATGAATTCTAGCACAAGCATCCTTTCTCCTTTTTCGGCGCAGAAGCCGATCAGATTGACAAGATGTCGATGGTGCAGACGGCCGGGCATGAGCACTTCTTTTCTGAATTCCTCATCTCCTTCTTTCCTCCCTTTCTCCATGCGTTTAACGGCTGCGATTTTCCCGTCGGGCAGATACGCCTTATAGACAGTGCCGAACCCTCCCTTGCCAATGACTGTTGTGAAATCGCAGGTTGCTTCTTTCAAGGCTTTTAACCTGAAAGTGCCAAAGGCTGGTAGAGGAGCTGCAAAGGAGTTTCAACAATATGACAAATGCCTGCAGCATTAGCAAAGCACAACCTTTTTATATTTTTTAAAAGCCTAGCTGGGTAGACCCTATACAACCTACACATTTGTGTTTTTTTAATAACTTTTTTCCCCTTTTTTTCCTTTTTTCCCCCCTTGTTCTATATATAACCCAGACATGAATCAGCAGAAGGCAAAGCTTTAGCACAAGGAAGACCACATTTCTTTGATGCCCCCGTTGTCGAATTTACTGCCATAACATGGGCAGGTACACCTTCATTCAACTAATAATAATAATAATAATAATAATAATAATAATAATAATAATAATGATAATAAAATATTAATAATAATAATTAATGTTTGTAATTACTAATCAGTAATTAACATCACGTGCCTGAGATGGCCTCGTGCCACTCCACACAAGTCAAACTAGCCACTAGTTCGATTTAACTAATTATAAATTAATAATTAGTTAAATCAAACTAGTTACGTCGGAGGCCGGCTTGAGGCATGCTGCCCGCCGTGTTAATGATTAGAAAAACGAATTACGGTTTCCATATGCGTCATTCTGTGGCATCAGGCCGCAAGCCTCAAGCCTCAAGCCGTCCTCCGACATACCATGCATGCACAAACAGGGAGAGATTTTGTCCTTGTTGATTTTCGCAGTCTCTCGGGAGACCCATGCACCTGGATGCAATCACGGAAAAAACACAGTACGATTCTATTTCCACCTTTTTCACTGGTCGCAAATCACTAGGGGACGAAAGGGAGTGCATCTAAACAGTGAATCTACAGGGCACAACGAACTGGTTAATTAAACGCAGGGAGGACGGGGCAATTTGTGATGGTCAGCTCCGAAAGAGGTCAGAGCAAACACAACAAGCAGCGACTGGGCGAGCGAATAAGTTGAGAGAGGCGGTAGTGTAATCCTCCGATCACATTTGGCGCAGCTTACCCGCATTCCAAGGCCAGGAAGCGACATCAGTATTCGGCAAAAACCTCCAAGATTGCTAAGACACAGATTTGGTGAGAGTCGAGAGACCGTCGAGACTCTTCACACACGCGCCATTTCCCTTGGGCTGTCCAAACCCTGTGGGTTACCGACGCCCTCCAATCCTTTTTCCACCCTTCTCAGCAGTTTCCTATTCCTCGTTGCACAGCACCTGAGCCCCAATGAAACGACCTTCCCACTGCCTGCCTGTCAATCCCTTTCCCACACCTATACCTACAGCTCTCACCACCCGATTGCCCTCGTCCCACCCCAATTACCACAGCCCCCAGCCATGCCCTCCCACTCCCCAATAGCGTCTACGGTCCAGAAACCAGAATAGACGGATACCTACAAGACACACAGTCTACATCACCTGTTCGCATGTCCCTTCTGCTATAATCCATTGGCTTGACCCATGGCTCTTCCCATCCCATTGCTCGTTCTCCTCCCCCACCCTACAAGACATGCAGTCTTAGACTACCGCACGGGTTCGCATGTCCCTTCTGCTATAATCCATTGGCTTGACCCTTGGCTCTTCCTGTCCCATTGCTCGTTCTCGTCCCTCCACCCCCCGACCCACATCGTAGCAGTCGGACACAGACCCAAGCCCCTCACTGGCTCTACTCTCACTCTCTCTTACCGAGGTTCAACTTTCTTAGTCGTCAAACAACTCTACCCTCGCAGGGGTAGTATGCGTAGCCATTACCTTAGCGCTCAAAAGCGTGCACTAGAGGATAGGCAGAGATTACATGGAAACCCACAGACGGAAGACGTATGCACAAGGCAATCGCTGCAACGCTGTTGATCTTTCAAGGATGTGTTACACAACACACACTCCTCATCTCATAGCTCTCAAACGACTCGCATGAGCTCTCTGGTGTTATTAGAAAGAAAATGAGTTTTTGAAAATTTTAATCGGAAAAACAAAAGTTGAGGGCAAGTCATAGAAAAGATCATCCAACACAGACAGGAGAGAGGAAGGAATCATTGACTGGAAATATCCGGACGGAAAAGTACCGGAACTGGATGAATTGCGCGAGACGCATGCTGTTGTGTTCACCCTCTCTAGGAGTGGAGCAGACCTCATGCCTGCAGAGAAACATAAGTGGATAAATCAATTAATGATTATTAATCAGTCAATAAAGAGGACAAGCTAAAGACGATGAAAATGATGCCTTTCATTGCAAAACCTGCGAAGAAAGAAGCTCACTCATGCTACCTAGTCTTCAATCACGACGAGCATGCGAAGATAGCACCGGATATAAAAATAAAGGAACTCTGCTGCAAGGGCTTGATTTGCATGATGACAAGGTGGAAAAAGGTTTGAAAAACAAACCACTCAAGGTGTGAATCTATCCACATTTGCAGTGACATACAGTCAGAATCTGCTGGCTGGGGGAAAGGGGGGAAAGTTAAAAGTACTGAAAACAACAATAATTAAAGAAATCCAGAATCTGTTAACAGCAAAGCTTTGGAAAATTTGGATACAATTCAATGATATCCCACTACCATCTTCCCCCGAATAGAATGTACCGTCATTGTGCCTGTATTTAGGGCACCTTTCATTCTAGATACAGCAATAATGACCGTACATTCTATTCAGGGGAAGACGTTAGGTTTCCGTGGATTCATCCTGAACAAATTGGAAAATTAATAGTATTTAATACCAAGCAAACAGAGTCCCGATGTGGACTCTCCAAACCACTGAGCTCCTCTCTCTGCCAACTGCGGTGCCATGACAGTCATACTTAAGGTCAAGACAGATGAACCACCAGTCTGTTTCCCCTCCCAGACACTGATAGTCGAGGAAAGGTCACACTTTGCTACGATACGACAAATCCCCACCTCTGCTTCCGCTGCCGGGACCGAGGATATCTGAGAACAGATCGAGCATGACCAACAGTCCCAACACTGGCGAAAGAGAGAAAACTGTGTCCCAACATGTTGGTGAAGGTGGGACAGTCACCGGGAACATGGTTAATGACAGAAAAAAAAAGCGCAGAGGAAAGAAGTAGGGGAACCTTTCTCGGCCTTTTGACTAAGTAAGATCAAGTGAAGAGTCTGTTGATTCTGTTCTGATCAGTTTAATATCTTCTCCGTGGTCCGTCGTGGAAAAATAAATAAATAAAAAATCAATACCATCTTATTGAAAGATTTCAAACTGGTCAGGGAAGAGAATGCAAGGGAAGACCACTTATTTTTATTTATTTATTTATTTATTTATTTATTTTTAAAGGGCGACAACCTTGACATATGGCAAGGGAAGACCTTCTAGAATATCTCAAAGAACCAGAGAAGTCCCGAAGCCTAGGCTACCAGCCAGGCCGTCTGGGTCACCCTGTTTTCCCATGCGGGTCGGCCATGCAAGCAACAGGGAAGGTACCAACAAAAGCAAAACAAAAAAAAAAAAAAAACACCGAAAGAAAACTATGTTATGCAGAAATAATAAACTGAACAGCTTTTGCCACAGGATCACATCCAAATTCTTTACAAAATCTAAACCAAAAAAAAAATAAAAATTCTTTTTGTTTGGCCTGGCCGGGCAAGTGGTCCCGGGCCACACTGGTAGCCTAGCCTGAAGCCTGATTGATCAGAAAGAGCGCAAGGACCCGCCTATTCCCAGCCCACTTTCTGGAACAACCCCTCCTAACTTGTGCGGACCAACCTTCTCCACAGTCGGACAAGCCCGGAAGGCTGTGGTTCAGCCTAATCAGGAAAGTGAGTCTATGGACAATACGGAAAGAGAGATTCAGCATCACCCTAGAAAGTACCAGAAATCCAAGGGAGACGGCTGGGGTGGATTCAAACTTTCAAAGACATCATCGAATCAGAAATTAATAAAAATATTAAATTATAAAATAATCTAAAGTTCTAAACGCAAATGGCAGAGGGTAATCCAGAGAAACGGACTGGCACAATCAGAGATGCCAATGCCGCACCAGGACAAGCATACAAAAGAAAACCAATATCCAATCTGGAAAAAAAAAAAAAAAAAAAAGAGGGGAGGAGAGGGAAACAGGAGAAGAGAAGAGGAAGGTGGGAAAAAAAAAAAAAAAAACTCTAATCTGGACCTAGGTTACCAGAGTTGCCCGGGACCACTCGCCCGGCCAGGGCCAAAAAAAATTAAATAAAATCCTTTTTTATTTTATTTTATTTTTAATTTGGTCAAAAACATCGATGTGACCCTGAGGCAAAAGTTGTTCAGTTCATTTTTTCCTGCATAGCATAGTTTTCTTTTCCCCTCTTCTTTTCTTTTTTTTTTTTTTTTTCCCCTGCTGGGACCTTCCCTGGTTCTTGCACGGCCCGGCCGCCCCGGAAAACAGGGTGACCCGGGCGGCCCGGCTGGTAGCCTAGATTCTGGACTTAAATCTCACACAACATTACCCAGGCACTTCATGTTTCCAGGGATCAATCCCATCCCTTACTACCGTCTTCCCCCGAACACAACGCACCCTCATTTTGGCTGTACCTGACCGGAAATATGGCTTATATACACTCGAGATCAGGGTGCGTTGTGTTCGGGAGAAGACGGTAGTAGTTACTACCCATAGTCCCCTTCTTTTCCGTTTGTTTGTTTGTTTGTTTGCCCATCCGGTAGTTGATTCGTGCAAAAAGAAGAGGAACGTCTTTCTGCAAGGCCGGAGCAATCGGCACCCTTTCCTCTACTTTGCGGAATTCTCGCACTCACTGCACAGCTGACAGCCTATTTATGTGCAGATTGAGAAGAAAATTCAAAAAGGAAGATTCCATAGGCTTCCTGAAAATCAATCCTCAGCCCGAATGAAAGGAGGCGTGGGAATGTCTTGTGGTTAACTTGACTCTCCCCAGAATAGAACAAAGCAGGACCATATGGGTGGGCAGACTGAACGGAGAAAAAAAAAAAAGAAGAAGAGGAGGAATAATATGCCTGAATCATGCTGAATCAGCCTGAAGGCCCTGAACGCCATTTTGATGCAGTTTAGAAGTTTACAGTGCATTGGAGCTAACAGCACTCATCTTTCTAGTGTAGATAATTTCAGAACCTTACTTATGGTCTAGAATTCAAGTGTGAGAAGAACTCCAGTGTACATACAACTCCAGTGCATGGCTGCAGTGCATGGCATGTTATATAGAATTCCACTGTTCAGATTCATTCAACGGTAATTGCAGGATTTATAATTTATAAATCTGGGAATTTGTGTGAACAGCAGACGTTATGAGAAGCTCCAGTTGCACAGAGTGCTGGGGTGGCATGAAAAAAAGTTCTTGAATGCTAAAATGAATTTAAATCATGGCGCTGTCGCTTTTTGATTTGAAGGCCAAGAGGGCATATAGGATGCTGAGGCCTAAGAGGGAGCTCAGGGACAGGGTGGAGGACAGATGGCAGCACCACCTGAATGTGGATTGGCTTCTCCTCCGGCCCATCAAGTGGTTTCAGGAGGTTAGGCTGAGGCCGGCGAAGGTTTCCACACTTAAGTGGCAGATCGCCCATCGCTGCCTTCCAACCAACAATTGGCTGATCAACCACACCGGTCCACACGAGGGCAGGGGTGGCTACGCCCTGGTGCCAGAGATGCCTACGGATATACCCGCCCCGAACCAGGAGAGAGACAATCAAA